ACACACCAAGTAATCCTTTTGTTTTTTCTTCTTAGGAACACTGGGTAACGTAGAACATGGGAACCAGTACCAGATGAAACTGATGTACGAGCATCATCTTCAGAGAACAGCCTGCAATATGACCTGCGGGCCGTTTGGTGGTGTGAAAGGTAACCATGAGCATGCTACTTCTAGTGACAGATTGAGAAGATTCGCTCATTTAGAAATGGAAGATTATGTGATTTGAATCACAGAGAACTAAAATAAGTATATTATTCAGAATTTTGCGTCCAAAGTATCAGTAATAAAAAGGAAACTGTATGCAGCAGACGTGTTGGTTTCATCTAAGCAGTTCTGGTGGCTGGCAGAGCATTTTTAAAGGCTTTTCTGTGGGTTGCGTCTTTTCCACATCAGCTGACTGAAGCTGAGCATTCTGTGGTGAGTTGTGTGCCCGGGCACTGGGTTGCCCTGCTCGTGGACAGGCTGTTCTTTTCCTGCCCCAGCCCTTCTCTCCATCCTGCCCATCTCCAGGGCCACTGTGCAGGTTCTTCAGGGCTATTTCTGTACAGGAACAGCTGGGAAGGGGAAAAGTGGGCCTGAGATGCAAAGTTCATCTTGATCATCAGGCTGAGCTTGCTGGCTTGAGGGGAATCACCTTGGAGGTGGGGCTGCTGCTTCTAAATGTCACAGGGTGGCATCTTCATGAAGCACAATTGTCCCTTGGTATCTCTGGGCTTTGGAGTATTGTTGCTAGTGTCCCCACCCGTATATGCCAAGATCTGCAGATCAGGTGCTCAGTCCCTTATGTCGGTGGGGCTGTGTATGCTTAGGAGCTGCACACAGCCTCTGGATGCTGAGACTATATCTAGGTCACTTATGATACCTAGCATGATGCCAGTGCTGTGTGTTCTGCACAGCTTCTGGATTGCATCCCCACCTGCCAGTTCCTCTCTCATGATGTGGTGAGAGAAGATGGGTTGTAAACAAGAGCACAACACCATATCCAAAGTATCATTCTGATAACCTGCAAACCCTGGGCCTATGTGGGCACCTGCCTATGAAGGCAACATTTGCTAATTAGAAAGTCAACAGCTAAGAGGGGAGGAGCCCAGGCTCCCTGAGCCAGAACACACAGTCCTTTCTACTTGTGCATTCCATAACCACTTTCATTTCAAAAATATTCAGAGGGAGGGGAGAGAATTTTTTCTGTGCTGAATGTGTGCAGATTTTCTTCTTCCTCACTGTTGTTCAGGTATGAAAGATGCTTGTGCATTATAGGGTTTACCAATCCATCACAGCCCTACAGGGGAAGGTTTGGGGAGCTGAGGAAATAAGTACTCAGAGTCTAAAGCAGATATTGACTAAAGAAAATTCTAGTTCAAATATCTTTAAAAACTCTTTCCAGAAAACAAAACAAAACAAAACAAAACAAAAAAACCAACCAAACAAAAAACTCTTGCCAGTAACCAGACTACATGAAGTATCTCATTTTACTAAATTATGTGAAATCAGTTGACCTTAAACAAGATTTTCTATATCAACTGTTCATTTGCCTTCTAAATCTAAAATGGGACAAATAAATTTCTGTGTGAACTACAATGAACATCCAAACAAAACTACCACAGAAATAATCAGTACCTCAATTATCAGACCTAAGATAATTTTCATACATGAAAATAGCGTGTTCCATATGCAAGTACTGCTTATG